CTCGAAAGCGCTCAACAACTTCGATTGTCGCTAATATCTACCCAAACTATCTTAGCTGTTCAACGATGCTCTGTTGAGCAATTACTTCTCCTTGAACAAAAGTTGCACATGCATGGCGCATCCTGAATTGATTGATCAATTCTGGGCAGCTGAATTACTTTATTGCAATTAATTTTTTTGCGAATTCACCTTCTTCCAGTGAGATCTTCCGCAATTTGAATACTCTGATCTTTCAATCGACAAATGGATACACATTGATCAAATTTAGAAGTATTGATTGGATCTCATTGCACTTATTTTCAGGTCGATCAACAGAATCTCGTCAAATACAGTCAATACCTCGAGCTTCTCCGGAACGCTTATGGAATCCAGTTACCGGGTGAACTCGGACAGCAGTCCGTTCAACCACAGCCTGAGTATCAGTTGTCCGCCTACCCATCGGCTACGCTGACAGCGTACCAAGCCTCCGGCGCACAACCAGTGCAACCACAACCTGGTTATCAGCTACCCGCATATCCGTCGTCAGCGCCAACTTACCAGGTTGCCGCAGCGCAACAGCCCGTTCAACAACAAACCGAATACCAGTTGCCCGCTTACCCTACGGCTAATGGGCAGTACCAGGCCGGGAATCCTTACGCTCCTGCACTGCAAACTGTCGACCATGGTGGCCAACATCTGACGGCCTATGCGGCTTCCACTGCCTCACCTCAGCAGCAGTACCAAATCTATCAACCTCAAACTTATGGACAAGCTGGACAACCACAGCAACAGCAAGTCTATCAGCCCACTGCTCAACAAACCTACTCACAACCCGCTCAAGCCCAAACCTATCAGCAACTCGTACCTCAACCACAGTCACCTCAACCTCCAGCTCAACCACAGTACCCTTCGCCGTACTCTGCCACTCAAGTACCTCTAAGTTCTCAGGAATATACTGCACCACCTCAACAGCCACATTATCCCTCACCTCAAACGATACAGTATCCAGGACAACAGGTCCCGTCCGGAATTCCTCAGCAATCTGTGCAACAACCACGGCAGCCACCACAGCAACCACAACAGCAATCTCTAAGCTATGGTCAGCAGGTGAGAGGAATTCACCTTCTTTTTCCCTTAGCGCTTTCAAAGAGCGGTTTTGTGCCTTGTAACAGCAGAGTTTGGACAAAAAAGCTGGATTTTCAGGCTGTTCCAACCTATCAGACAGCCGCTCTAACATATCCGCCGCAGCATCCTCAACCAGGCATTCAACCACAGCAACCCAAACCTCAGGTATGCCACTATAGACATTTTTTGCCGGAGCGTTCGTTCGTTGAAAGATCAACACTCGCTTGGGGGTACTGTCCAGTGAATGTTTTCACTATATTTGTCCAACAGATGAGGAGCAATTTCTGCTTCAATAGGTGAAGTAAAGTGAGAACACCCTCCTGCAACTTTTCGGATCGTTTTCTGATTCCTTTGCTATTTTTGAAATTTTTGAGTTACTGAAGCTCCTTCATTCTTCAAGCTTAGAGAATGAAGGAGCTTCGGTAACCCAAAAAGTGAAGAGTAAAAGAGGAGTATCAAAATTTTGTAGGAGCTGTTGTGACATCCTTCCGAGGGGGGGGGCTACGTTTTAGAAAAGTCATAATTCAAAACTGCTTAAAAAGTGTATTCATTCACAATGGGTGGCATTTAATCGGAATACGCAAGCGGAACTCCGGAATGGAGTTTTTGACCCAGTTGGGTCTGGTATGGAGGGCTATTTTGCGCTTTCGCTGCTTCCCATCAACGAATCCAGCTATCAAGAAGAGATTTGTGAACTCTTTCGAAGTAATATCAGCCAAAATTGTAGAGATCACTTGCCAACTCTTTGTCAAAAAAAATCCCTTTCAACTTTTATACAGCGACGAAAACGTCGATGGGAAGTAGCAAAAATGTAAGACGCCGCACTCCCCCCCCTCTCAAGTTAAGCTGCGCAGTTTTTATTTGTTTTTTTATCCTTCACTTCTTTGTTCTTACTACGGAAACTGCTAGCCTATTCGACATAATATAGTCTGGTGAAATGTAACACAAGCAAAAGTTTCAGGTCTATGCATACCGAGGTTCAGGACAAGCCGTACATCCCACGTACAGGTAAGCAAGTACATTTGTTTCACGGGGTAGATACAGATAGACGTGGATACACGCGGATGGCGCACTTCGGCCACAGAGGGGGGGGGGGCATTTTGCACTTTCGTTGCTTCACTAGTTCCGGTTTACAAGTCTCACTCTGGTGAAACCTGTGAACTCTTGTGAAGCTGGAGCAAGCTCGTCAAGCCATCATGGTCCTGTCAACTCGAGAAGAGGCTGTCTAGATGGGTCGACACATCGATGGGAAGTCTTTAAAGTGCAAAATGCCCCCCCCCCTCCCCGTCGTCAAACAGAGCCACACGTGGATATTTCTCTTTCTTATATTATCTTATTTCTTATATTAGGTGTTGAGGTTATTGGTGTAGGCTACAAGTGATGCCACATTCCATGCACTGTTAGGGGGCCAAATCTTGTATCAGGGTCTCAGTTTCTTGAACTACGCCAAATTCCATACTCGGATAACTGGGATCAAGCTTCTCTGTGGGAATAAAAACACTAATTTGTACATTGACTGACCACCTTCAAATCACAGTGAAACACAGCCATGTTCAAATTCCACTGTCTATCCGAACAGATGGGAAATCCTCACCCATCTTATCGTTAAAAGGAGGCTGATTAGTGTCGAATGCTGCATTCTTCTTGCCTTTCATCTCAGGAGCACTGAAATGCGTCGAACCTTACAGTAAGGTGAACAACCTCGGTAAGGCAAAACTCAAATTTTCGCTCGAAATGTCTTTTTCCTTCTCGGTGGTGGTGGAGTAGCTGAGGTTGATTAGCTGAAGTTATGTAGGTAGGTCTACTGACAATTCGAACTCAAGTTCAAGCTGTCTGCTCTGGCCTGCAGCCCTTAGGAAGCTGGTAAAGTTGTAATCTCTCTTGGGGTCTCAGTTTTAAGGACCCTTTTCCGAATCACCATTTTGTAAACCGCCCGACCAATTGCGGATGGGAAATCACGGCGTTCACATGACGCCATCATGAAGACTGCAACTTAATCTGACAAAATCGACTTAGGAAGTTGCGCCCAACCCCCTCCAGAAGTTCATTTACTTTTGAGGAATTTCGTCCCGTGCCGCCTTGCCATGGTTCTATTGCACTCTTGGAATTTCACTTTCCTAATCGTTCCGCGCCACTAGGACTGCTCACAGGACACTGACGGAACATCCGGTTAATCAGTAGGTTGGGGCACGACTGGGGGAATAGGTCAGCCTCATCCGAAGCTGATGAAAGATGGGTCGGGCGTCACAAATGATATAAGCGAGGGCAGCATTCGCAGCAGGACCCAACAAATGTTGCAGTGTGCTGAGTCAGCTAGCTAGGCCTTGTGCAAATTTAGTGCCGACTGTTTGTTCTGTACTGCACCCGACGCCGTTAGCCTGTAAATCAGATATGGGGTTTTCTGCAGAAAAAAATTCATTTCACTCGGGAAAGGCTGTTAAAAAGGAGCCAGTCTATTTGATTCCCAGCGCGAAATAGAACTTGAACTTATTCAGCAGGTTATTTTTAGTTCAAATCTGGCCTCACACTCCTCCGAGCAGCCCGAATACGAATCAAATTCCGTAACCGAACTGGAGACAATGGGAAGTGTTTATGGAGGCGGAAGCGAGGTAAGATAGTATCTCATTTCCCAACAAATTTGTGAAAATTCGGAAACAATTTGAAATCTTTTTCGTACTTCCTAGTGATACATGAAAGCGTTCCAAATGGTGATGTCGTTCATTCAATGATGTATTTTCAGTACCCACATGTGATTGAGGAGATTTACACGCCTCCGCAAACTCCAGCCACAACTCGTCCTACCACCACCCCTCGTCCACCTCCTGTGACAACTCGCCCACGCCCACAGACAACTCGTCCACGTCCACAGACAACTCCAGCTCCACAGCCAACGACGACAAAATCATCGGCAATGGCGATCACTTCTCAATCGTTAACGCAGCAGGTACGGTAAAAGCTCAGGAAAACGGTAGACCGGTGTGGATGATGTAATCGGTTGTGACAAGGACATATGTTCACAGCGGGTGGCGTGGTATTGTTATCGCTAAGGTGTGGATTGCGTCGTCGATTAGCGCTTGAGCACATTATCTACGACAGATTAACTCGCGGTCAGACAGGTGTAACATTCGATAGGTCGCGAAATCCATGGAATCTTAGAGAGTCTTTTAGGTTTCTTAACGATTTCTGAGGATTTTACTGGCTGCTTTGGCACTTCAAGAATAAGCTCCGCAAAATGCGCTGACAGCATTCGAACGGAGTGGTTCCAGCGACTGCGCTGTGAGTGTCCAGGCAGCCTCTTTGCTAATCTCTCTCCGTGGACAGGTGTCCGAATTAGCGCCGCGAGGAGTCAACTGGCACACAGTTTTGAGACAATTACGCAACACGGATGAGCTAATAAGATCATATGGGAAATTGCATGTAACATCGAGCAAAACTGGGAACCCTTAAGGTCATTGAGGAGCTGCGAACTTGCTTTGAATTCCAAGAAGAGCATACATGGGATCAAGTCCACGAAACGGCCCCCAACCCTCTACTGACTTTCATGAATGCTCTTCCCCTTTCACTGCGCTCAATGAACAACGCTTCTTCAGCTGAAGCCCCTTCCGTGCTTGCTGGATTTCCGTGCCTCAAGGAGACTGATTCAAATAGTTTTCCAAGCGTTTCTTATAAAAGCTGCAGAAGCTATCGGGCAAGTCCGCTTACGGAAAGAGGGGGGACGGGAAGGGACTGCAGAG